CAGGAATGTAATTGTTATGTACTGCAGACATGTGTCAATAAAAAAAAGAGGCATTCCATCAGAATCACAGCAGACTTCTCAATGCAAACCCTCAAGGCAAAAAGAGCTTGGAGTGATGTATTTCAAGCCCTAAAGGAAAACAGCCTCCAACCCAGATTGATGTACCCTGCAAAACTATCTTTCAAAATTGATGGAGAAATAAGATACTTTCATGACAAAGAGCACCTCAGGAACTTCATTAACACCAAATCGGCACTCCAAAAAATTTTAGACAATACCCTAGGAAAAGACAATGAGGATCACAACCCCAGGAAACCCAGCAGAATGAATCCATTGGGTGTGACAAATTAAATGCAAAGGGGGAGAATCCAACAAAAAGAAAAAGTCATGACAAGGCTTTTAAAACTTTTAACTTCATCTCCCTAATGAGTGTATAATTCAATCTTATTATCGTACTGATCATTATTTTTCTGATTCTAGAGTTGCACACCTTTCCTTGTGCTGTACTGGCTATTTATCATCATCTTATGTCTACTTTTTAATTGGGTTGTCTATTAATGAGCTCTAAGAATTCTTTATATATTCTGGTCATAGATTATATGTATTGTAAATATGGTCTGTTTAAGGACTACTTTTCATTTTAATGATGTAATTTAAAGTTCTAAATTTTGATGGAATCTCATTTATCAATTTTTTTCTTTTACACATCATGTTTTTTGTATCCTAGGTAGTTCTTGCCTATCCTGAATTCATAAATATTTTCCCTTATAATTTCTTCTTAAAGTTTCATACTTTTAGGCTTTCATATTTAGGTTCATAGATCCCTTCAAGTTATTTTCATGTATGGAAATAAAGGGTTGAGATTAATTTTTTATATACAGATACCAGGTGTTCTAGTGCCATTTGCTGAAAACACTATCTCTTCCTCGGCTCTTGAATTGAGTTTATATTCTATAAAATGCTAATGTTAAATAATCTTTCAAAACTCAGTGGACCATATATGTATGGTTCTATTTCTAGATTCTCTGTTTTATTCCAGTGATCTATATGTCTTTCCTTACACCAACACTGCCTTGATTACTGTAGCTTTAGAAGAAGTCTTAAAATTAGGTACTAAACGACTTCCAACACTGTTTTTGTTTTTAACTTTTCTAGGTCCTTTGTACTCCTACATAACTTTTAAATTTCAATATCCAATTCTTCATTTATAGCAAGTATACACAGACCTGAATTTTTATATATACCTTGTGTTTTCTAATCCTGTTAAATTCAAGTACAAGTTCTAGGGGATCCTAGAGATTTCTTAGTATTTTCTCTGTAGATGATCATTTCATCTACATATAAAGATTTTGCTTCTGCCATGCCAATCCTGTCCTAATTGTGTCATTTTATTGCCAGACTATTTTGGTGGGGACTAGGTTTCAAAGTTTAATGGACAGATAAAGAGTAAGCATATCTGCCCTTGTTCCCCACCTTAAGGAGAAAGCATTGTATCTTCTCCATTCATATAAGGCGTTCTCACTGGAAGTATGGAGTACATGTCTTTAATCTGTTGAGAAGGTTCTGTTTTACTTCTAGGCTCCTGATAGCTTTTACCATGAACATCTATAGAATTTAGTCCAATACTTTTTCTCCAACTAGTGACAGGATCATATGGCTTTTTCCTTTCCTCTGTTGAAATGATGACTTTTGGGGGTGGATCTTCCAATGCTGACCCAACACTGCCATCCCTATAACAAAACCACTTTCTACATCCTGCCAGATCTGACTTCTAAGAGCTTGTTTTGTTAAACAAATTTCTATCTATGTTCATACTTTTTTCTTCTATTATCTTTATCTAGTTTTAGGATTAGCACAATGTTGAGTTCCCAAAATGAGGAGAGAAGTGTTCCTTCTTTTTTCTGCTTTAATTTTTTGATATAATTTATCAGTTTAAATGTTTGTGAGCCTGCTGTTGTCATATAGGTAGGTTTTCAAGCTAGGAATATACTTTCTTTAATAGGTGCTATTCAAATTGTATATTTCCTCCAGAGTTCGTTTCATTAATTTGTCTTCCAAGGTACTTCTTAGAAGTTGTCAAATTTATTTCAAAACAGATTTTTGTAATATGCTTTCTATATCCTTTTAAATTCTGTAAAATCTGTGGTAATGTCTCCTAGATCTTAATATTGTAATTTAAAAAATGTATAACTGATATTGTGTAACAGAAAGAAAAGGTCTAAAAGATCAGGGGAATTGTGAGGGGTAGGGGAAGGGGAAAAAGGGAAAGAAAAAAATATGAGGAGAGGAAAAAAAATGGAAACAAGGTCTTTGCAAAAAGGAAGGGCGGAGGGGGTGAAGGGAGGGCAGGGGAAGGGAAAATTAAGAACCAAGATACTCATGTAAAGGTACAAGATCCCAATGATGAATGTAACTGTATTTTATACTGAAAATGTACCAATAAACTTAACGGGGGGTGGGGGAGAGGCATTCTGTTACTTTGGCATATTTTTAGGAAAGGTGTGTCTAAATGCACAAGCCAGAAACCTAATTGGCTAAAACCGCAAAGATGATCCTGTGGGAAATTAAAAAATATTTGCCTTAATCTCCCATAACATTCTGCTAAGCACCATTGTGCTTATGCGATGCTGTGAATCAGAAGAAAAAGTCATCCAGCCTCTCTTCATTGTTCATGTTAAGAGTAATGACTATGATACATAGAAAGACAAATATATATGGGAAAACTAAATGCTGTATTTCCTCTTTGCACAGATACATGTGTCACAGACCTGCACTGATAACTGCTGTAACTGATACATGTAAAGAACCAGAAATAGCAAACATAATTCTTAATCAAAAGAAGAATAGTGCGCATTAGAGGCCCATTAGGATATCACAGCTATCGGGTGGAAACTGAAATTTAGGAAATCCAGAGTACATTTCCAAAGCATAGGTTTTGCAGATAGTGAGAAAGGTATTGGGAGCAGTTCATCAATGCCAGGCTGCATATGCTGTGCCCTGTCTGCCCACTACAAGGAGAGGTGGGGACAGTAACGGGGACAAACCTGCTCTGTACTGATAGTATTTGAGGTGCATTATCTTATGGCACAGAATGTTAATATCAATCTCTAATTGCCAAAAGGTACACATTAAAGGACAATAATCTCTAAATGCTTATCATATGTTCAGAGAAACACAATTCAGAAATCATGATTTATTTTGACAATCGCTAAAACCATAAATTTGACTTTGAGGCTTTTGATTCACAGTGGACCAAGATTTGGAGAAGCACTGAGAATCTCTTCTTCTTTCTTTTTTTTTCCCCTTAAATTCCTTTATTGGTACATTTTAGGTATACAATACATTTACATTTCTCATTGGGAACTTGTACCTTTACATGATGCATCTTGGTTCTTATTTTTTCCCCATTTCCTGTCCTCCCTTTACCTCCTCCACCCCTCCCTATTTATAAAATCTTTGTTTCCATTTTTTCCTTTCCCTTCTTTCCTTTCCCCTAGACCTTTTCTTCTTATTTCACATTATCAATTATTCATTTTAATCATTATGAAATCTCTTCTTTCTTGTTTCCATTTTCACTGATAGCAAATTCTAAGTTCTTTAGGCACAATCAAATTTAATATGCTGCCATTGTTTTTGAGTTGGGTATTTACAGAATAGAACAGCAGTTATAAATGATAGACAAGGTTAGAATATCCTACTGTATTTGTATCAGGAAAATAAAGGCGTAAAATCAGCCAACTGATAAAACTTCTGAGCTGTTTGAGAATCCCTCAGTATCATTTCAGTACATGATTCACTATTCAGGGTTATAGTCACACAACTAAAGATAGGTAAGTACAGATATTCATCTTTTTGTGTCTTTTAAAGCCTGTATGCAAATTTGCTTACTGTGTATCAAATACTGTGTTGACAGATTCAGTGAGATATTTTTTATCTTAATATTACTCCAGTTTTTAAAATTGCAAGCTTATTTTGCTTAACAAATAATCATTATCTTCTATTTTTTGGGCGGATAAATATAGATCTATTTTAATATAATAGTACCTTAAAATGAAATAGCTTCTAATTTTGACACCAATTACATTAAGTTACACTCTAACTTTATTTTTAAAATTGGGATTTTACAACATTAAAAACATGAAAACTAAAAGATGTCTATACAAACAGAACACTTAAGCCAATAAATGCACACCTTTTGTGTGTATGGGTGTTTGTGTGTGTGAATGTGTGTATAGCACTAGAAATTTCACCCAGGGCCTTCACACTGAGCCATATCTCCATCCATTTTTTATTTGTTAAATTTCAGACAGGATCTCAGTAAGTTACCCTGGCTGGGGATCCTTGCAGAAGGCTGGGATTTACAGGCCTGCCCCACCATGCTCATCCTGCACAATGCATTTATTTGATAGGTTTTGGTGGAAAGAACACGTTTTTTTCTCTAGTGCTAGTTCCTTTCATAGTCACTTAGAATGCATTTAATTAGCATAATAATCCCGTGGTGTAGTTACGACTGTCACATTTTTCAACTGAGGAAGTTGAAATATGGAAAGGTTAAGAGACTTGCCCAAGACCACACAGCGAATTAATTGGGTGTTCTAAGATCTCAACCCAGTCTTCCGGTTTTCGACTGTGAGCTTTTCCCTACTATTTTATGTGCTGCTAGCTAAACCAAGTGTTCGAACATAACAACCAGTCCATTTCAGGATTCCAATAAAAGTACAGTTAACAATAACTTTCTTCTAAAAATGACTTGTTTCTATTGACCAAAAAAGCCACAAGTTGTTGTATGCAATCATTCTTTGTAGCTAACAGCTGCTCTGTTTTATGCAGTTTCCCACAAGCACATCAAAGTTAATATCAATTAGAAAAGAGGAGAAAAATTATTTTGGGTCGCATAACATTTGACAAATGCTTTAGTAAATAAAACATTGCCAAGGAGCTAAAATAGTTTTTACTCTGCTGAAACTTTACTATCTTTCTATGCTGACTGTTTTTCAAAGGTGTCAACTGTGAATTACAAATTGATGAATGTTGGTCCCAGCCTTGTCTAAATGATGCAACTTGTCAGGATGCTCTGGGGGCTTATTTCTATGACTGCGCCCCTGGATTCCTAGGAGATCACTGTGAACTCAGCTTTGATGAGTGTCTCCATGTGTCTCAGCTGTGTCTCCATGTGTCTCCATGGAGGGTTGTGTGTGGACGGAGCAAATAGGTGCGTCTTCTCCTACAACTGGGTGTTTGGCTCAAAGAGACCTGGAACGATTGTACCACTCTGGTGAATTTAAACAACTTCTGCTTAAAATTCTCAGGTTACTTTATACTTAAATGACAAAACATGGTAGCATTCATATTTTACTAAAAAGTGTATTCTTTGGAGATATCTTTCATAGCGAGAATTTTCCAAGTTACTCTTGAAATACAGTAGAATAGAACTGCTCATACTATGGAAAATTATCAGCTTTTCAATTATATGAGATAAACCTGTTGTAAATAGGGAAGATGCAAAAACAAAGCTAAAGATTATTAAAATTGTGAATATAAGGTTTTATCTATATGATAAGTGGCAAAAGTAAATCTTTTAGAAATTTTATATAAAGTGTTGGCAAGGGCAGTAATATTGAACTATTCACATTTTTGAATTCCCAGGGAAATTGGGTGAATACCTTTGAGGAAGTATAATGGTTAGAAGTAACCATATAATATTTCTCCAAATAAAATTCTGTCACTGTCTTCCTCAAAGAAAGTCCAACAATATGTTATACCTTAATATAGATATAATAAATTTGTGTAATGGTAGTTGAGCTCACATAAAATATTTTGGAAAGAACTTTCCAGTACTTATGAAAATAACAAATAACTGAATTATCAAATGCATCAGTAATATTTAACAATATTGCATTTCAAATTATCTTTTTGATCCTTCAACAGCTCAATGGAAGACAAGATGCACGTTAATGTTCCTATATTACAATAAGATATCAAAATATAGCAAAGTTAGATGACTTCCACAAGTTCACACAGTTAATTCTTTGCAAAAGGAGGAACAGAATTTACATTTCCTTTACTTAGTAAGTAAGACATCATTCATCTCAAGTCTAATTTTAAAGTGAATGAGACTTAAAAGGAGAGCTATAAAAGGCATGTACACTTTAAATGTGCCCAAAATAGTAGGGCTTTAAATCAAGCAATGTGGTTGCACATTTCTTTTTTAAAATATAAAGCATAACTTTAATCACATTCCATATCCTTCTCTGACTTCAGCGTTTCCCAAATAATGTTCCAATGACATGAATCTATATTCTTGGAGACAGACAATTGGCCAGCACAGAGACAACCAGATTAGAAAGAACTTCTGACACAAGATTTCCAGAGGAAAACAAAGCTATCCCATGCACACTTTAGTGTCTCCAGAAAGCAGTAAACAGAAAGTATACAAAGCTTTCAGTTCCAGTGGAACTGTAAACAAAACAATGCTGAACTTTGCCACATTTTCTTGTCCTCTTGTGAATGTAGCATAAATATTTTTCAATTTTACTACTGGCATTGTATCTCTGTCTAAATTTTGAAAAGATAATCATGAAATCAACCAATGTAATTTGACTTTATTTTCCCACAATTAAAAAATTAACATATTTGCCATGATGCATATGAGAAAAAAAGGTTTTTGTAGACCAAAGGAATTATGCAATTGCAATTTTTAATTTCATAAGCTGAGGGACGCTAGCCAGCAAATCAAGCTCCTTGAGTATAGGGCTCTTATCTCTAATGTCTTATAGGTAGTAGATTTTTGAAAGTATTTCTAATTAAACAAATGGAATAATGAACAGAAGATTTCCCACTAGTCATATAAAATTACAGTCATTCATAACATCTATTATTACAATTTTGTTATAAAAGTCCAATTATCTGTGCTTGCTGGTAAATACACATAGCCATCTTGAACAGAACTGAAACTTCTCTATAATTCATAAATTATCTACTCCAGACATTCTATGTTCTAAGGTAAGTAGCAGATGCATTTTCTACAATACTAAAGAGAAGAGATCTCCCCTCTTCATAAAGTCAACAGTTCTCTCCATCAGATTTGTATTTTGGGACTGGCAGATATTCTCACACAATCAATGAAAGATTAATAACAGGAGGACTATAATATTCTTCTGATTTAAAAATAAAAGAATATTACAAGTACAATTTATTTAATAAGTGTTTTTCCTGAATTTTTCATATTTATTACTTCGTTTTTTTCATAAGGACCCTTTTATGGTACAAATAATTCTCTACTACTATCAATAATATGAACAATTTTATTTAGTACAATTTAATCAAAATTTATTCAGTACCTTGGGATACTTGAGACATTGGATGTATTTTATATGTACATTTAATTATCACAATAATGCTGTGATGTAAGTACTATTATCTTAAAATTATGGGTGAAAGAACGAAGAAAACAATCATGGTTTTCAAATAACTTTACATGAAGTTTTACTATAATTTTTTAAAAGATAATGAGAAGACACTGATATAAAAACACATAATGCATTCAGATATGTAAACATAATTTCCCAGTGAAGCAAGTACTAAGATGAAGCCACAGGTGTTAGGTCATGGCCAAAAGAAGAGACAGGATCCCTGGTACACGCCTGTAATCCCAGCACTCTGGGAGGCCAAGACAGGAAGACAGCAAGTCCAAGCTCAGCCTGGGCAACTTTGTGATTTAGTAAGACCTTTTACAAAAAAAGGGCAGGGGATAAAGCTCACTGAGAAGACAGAGAGACTGAGGGTGAGGATAAAAATATTTGATTTCCATTTGACTACAAGTTGACATGAAAATTTCATTTACCCCTCAGATACAGCTGTAACTGCACAGGTAGTGGATTCACAGGAACACACTGTGAGACCTTGATGCCTCTCTGTTGGTCAAAATCTTGTCACAATAATGCTACCTGTGAAGACAGTGTTGACAATTACATTTGTCACTGTTGGCCTAGTAAGTGACAAAATAGCTTACACTAACTTTATTGTTTCTTGCTTGCTTAGAATAGAAACAAACTAGTTATATAAAATGAAGCTAAAAATTATTGTCATAAAGATTTAAAACCAATTCATTCTTCTAATTATCATCTCTAATAGTATTCTTCGATGTTCACACATACTCCCAGTCACACGACACACACCATGTACAGTTGTAGATGACTAATATGCCCAATGATCAGAACAATTTAGAAGAAAAAGAAGGTGGAAAACCAATGGAAAGGTAAAATTCAACATGTTCTTAGTGGTGAATGATTCACTGGAAGGTGATTTCTGTTTCTTTAAGATGTTCTCTTAGACTACAGAAATATATAGAAACCCATGAAACAACATTAAAATTCTAGGAGCTTGTCTTATAATTCACAAAGTTTGTCAACATCATAATGATAGCACCCATAGGGGATAAAATATTTTGCAGAAATAGGAGTATTATCTAGACATTTATAAGGTCAAAAAGAATATAAGTAAAGCATATAAAACCATAACTAAAAATTACATGTAAGGGGTAATTAGACTGGAGTGGACAGGTGATACAAGGACAAGTAGAAAGCAGTACAGAATATGTGAAATACATTACTGACCACCTAAAGATACTGATTTTAATTTGGGTGAATAACTTCCTCGACTTTTTATCTAATTTAACTAGGATTTTATCGATAGAAATGAAAAGTACAGCATCTCCTCTCTTTTCTTTCTTGATCCACTGGGGGGGAAATGATAGAATTATTCAAGGTCTAGTTGTATAAGTTGACTATCTTTCTATCCTCATTCATTTGTTTAAAGAAGGGATAATCCTGTGGGTAGAAAGAAAACATGCAGAATAGAGTCTATCCCATCAGCAGTAGCTTCTGCTTGAGATATCTCATTGCCTGAGGGACATTTGATATCTTTGGTTAAGTATAATTTTGTAGATTAAAAAAAAAAACTAAAAGTATAACTTGGTTTTCTCCCATAACTTAGAAATGTGTGTGTGTTACATGTTCCCACTTCAAATAATAATTAAGGGACATTTATTTGCTATCTTTTCATCATCAATTTGACCTCAATACTGAAAACTTCCCAAAATATGTTAATATGCAGGGTCTGTGCCCAGAAATAGGGTCTAAAGTAGACGATTTTGGAATAGGATAAATCTACCACAAGCTGAACAGATTTTAGTGAGTTGCCTCTAGATCCTTAAATTCTTCATCTGAAGAAGAGACTAAAAATACTTTACTGGTAGTATTGTTCTGAAGGGTAAAACTATAAAAGCAGAGTCTGTAATATATTAAGCCTCTAAAAAGGATAAATTTACTATATGCCAACCTGTACATCGTAAGATGGGATTTATGTACGTATGTGAGATGGATTCTGTTCTTCAGGGGTTGTACAACAGAGTCCAGCAGTTAGAAAATTTGTCTTAAAAGAAAAAAAAAAAAAAAAAAGAGCAAGCTGAGTGTAGTGATGCTCACCTGTAATCCCAGCACTCTGGAGGCTGAGGCAAGTTTGAGCCCAGCTCGAGGAATTTAGTGAGAAGGGGGCTCAAAAGAAAAATGAAAAAGTTCTGGAAAAGTAGCTTAGTGCAAATTCCCAATACTGCAAAAACAAAACAAAACAAAACAAAAAACAACCTGCATATGTTCCATTCAGCCACAGAGCTAATCATTTAAGCCACTTGGATTTCACTGAGGAGTTTACATATGTCAGGATCTGGGAATAAAAAAGACATCCATCCTTCTTCCAAAGAGCTAATTCTAGTATCCCTATGAGACTGTGCAAAAATATGTACAGCATGATCTTTGGCACTTTATAATAAATTGTGTAAAGGAAATAAAGGGAGAAGAAGTACAGGAGTGGATTGACCAAAGAGGCATCACTTGAGAATATTTGAAAGAGGACTGAACATGTACCAGAAATGTATACACTGGCTGTGTGACTTTGGACAATTAAATTCTCTGAGCCCCAGTTTCCTCATTTCTAAGTCAGAGATGCTGGAAATAATATCTACCTCATAAAGTTTTAAAATAGAGAAATCTATGAATATATATATATATATATATAAAGTGTCCAGCTCAGCCTGTTTCATAGAATGCCCTCAGTAAACACTCACTAGACACCAAAGGTAGGAGGTGGGCCATTCTCGACTCTAAGGTTAGCACTGAGTAACCTATTACTTTTTTAAGGAAAGAAGAAAACAAGGAGAAGATGGAGGAGGAAGAAGAAGCAGCAAGAAACAGTGGAAGACACACATAAAAAGAAGTTCCAACTGTGGACCTTTTAAGTGATTATTGGACCACACAGGGCGTGAGTTACAGAGATGGACCTGGGGAGGAAGACAGAAGCCCCATCACAGAGCTGCTTGTCTGCTTGCAGTCTGTGGAGCAGGAAGTTACACAATCTGACCTGTGAATTTTAAAGTAGCTCTCTGGCAGCTTCGTGAACGGCGACTGAGGGAGATATAACCAAAGGCAGGGGATCTAGTGAGAGGATTCTGCGAGAGTTTAAACAGAGCTGAGTCCCAGCATGGAGGCATCAGTCATGGGTGTGTATGAGGGGATGGATAGTTGGGAGAGTCATATGAAATAATGTGGTTCAGATTGAGGACAGTTCTGCCTCTGAGTTTCTGTCTTAGGTCACTGAATGTTGATGGTTTTGTTAGAAAATTCAGAATGTCTTTGTACCCTATTCTATTATATATAAAGAAGATGTAACACAGCCACCAACAGATCTAAGGAACAAAGAGCATTCGTTTGGATCACAATACCACTGCAGCAGCATGCAAGGGCAAGAATCCACTACCACGTCTACAGTCTTCATTTCAAAAGTGATGCATTCGGAGAAGTTGTCACCTTAACTGCTTATCTTAAAAGTTTTCCTCATGCCCAGATGTGATTGGATATGCTAAAAACAAACAATATAAAACCCCTGGGACTTGATTCAGTATTGTATTTCTTCTTTGTTCAGAGTTTTATGGAAAAACTTGTTAAAACTATCGAATATGGTCTTGACTGAAGGAGTCTATTTATATCTGTGGTTAAGGAGAACAGTAAATAAAATCCCCACAGGGCCTCAGTGGTGAGGACGAGACTGGCAAAACTATAAATCAAAACTGTCCCAATGTTCAGGATTGGTGTGAGATAATGCATGAGCCAGAAAAGCAAAAGAAAAAAGGATTTTATCGTGCTTCTAAATTACTTTCTAACATGGCCTATGTAGGAATAAGTCTTGAATCTTAGAATGAAAAGATAATGGAAAATAAGCCAGGCTTCCTTCAATAAGTCCACTGTAGCCCCCCCAAAATCCAGCTTATAAAAATCTGTGGTGAAAATTATTATTTATTGTATATTTTGTATAAGCTGAAGTATGCTAAAAGTGTTTAAAAGGTAGTCATTCAAGTTTATGAGTGTTCCTTGGGGGAGGTCACTCCTTGTGAGATCTTAATCTGACAAGTTCATTTAGTTTATTTTTCTTTTTTTATTTTTCACTCTTAAGTTCCTTCTTCAGAGGGTGACTGAGAAAGGCCCCAAGGGTCATTTGTAATGAGCGTATTATACTATTGAGCAACAGAATTTGTGTGGTAGTTATTGTTTGACATATGACCCATTCGGGTTTTTTTAAAAGTTATAAAATGAGCAATCACATTTTCTTCCTATTACTAGTCAATTTTCTGGTTTATGTGCTAAGACAGAATTATAATATAAATTGTTACTATTTTCAACCATTACCTACTACTATTTTATTCTTAATTTTTTTCAGGGATTGAAGGTCTGATTGTTCAGTACTGGGCTGGAAAATAAAATAAACACAGTTCCTGTTTTTGTAAAGCTTAGTGTCAGCCCAGGGAGACGATACATACACATAAATACGTAATTAAACAATATAAAAAGTGCAGTGAAAGAAAAGGATTTGGTGGTGTGAGAGAAATGAGGTGATCTTATTCAGATGTCTTCATGGGGCAAGTAATTCTGAGACAGTGGTACCAAGTATAGTCTGGAAATTGAGTCAGAGCTGGCCAAGCAAAGGTACGGAGGAGTTTTCTAGAGAAGAGAGCAGCATCACGAAGGCCAGGGTGTGTAGAAATCATTCTCAGGGTGGAAGATGGTGAATGGGGTGAATGGGGAGATGGAAAGGAGCTTATATATAATAAGGGAGCATTTGGTCACATTAAGGATTTTGAATTTTATACAGTGTACAAAGGAACCCATTGTATGATTTTAAAATAAAAAATTATAATTTGATTTATAACTTAGCATTTTGGATTGTAAATTTTGTTTAAAAACATGTTTCTCAGCAGATTTAGTGACATTACAAAGTCACTTATATTGTAGATCTAATTAAGTTTAAGAACTTCATATATTTGTCCATCTCACAAAAAGGCTGATGTTATTTTATTATCCATCAACATTATATTAATGTTTTGCTAAATTTACCTTTGGGGGCTACCACGACACAGAGTATATAAATAATAATAAATCAATAAGAAAAAGCCTAATAAAAAAGCAGGAAAATGTTATAAAACATTTTTGCATCAAAAAATGTTCAACTCAATAGTAGCTGAGGAAAATGTAAATTAAAATATTTTTATCCAACAAACTATTGAAAATTTTTATGTTTAGTGACAGTAAACATTGGGAAGGATTTGGAGTCATATACACACTTGTCCACTTGCTGGCCATATGTAAATGCAGAACTACTTTAAAGGCATTTTCCAGTCTACCAAAAAATGTATATAAACTATAACCTAGAAATTCCATTTGTAAGCATAAACTCTAGGGTTTTACTCAAGCACGTATTGGCATGAGTATTGATAATCATGGCAATATTGCAGTAGGAGAAATACATATAAAATCAATATAGGAATGGTTAAACTGTGGTACATCCATATTTTGGAATACTTGGCAATAGTTAAAAATTCTGAGTTAGTTCCATCTAACCCACATACACAGATTGTGCAGTGAATCAAGCAAGTTGCAGAGAGATGTATATAGTACAATTTCAGTTATGTAAAAAAAACACAAACTCCCACAATGGAACTATATATTTTTAATGGGTATATAGGTATGTAAAAGCAAAGAAACGGTTTGGATAGGGACATTTGTTTTATATTTAATTCTTTAATGTTTTATAAAGTGGTAAGTCACTGATTTTTTAAAAATTCCTGGCCTGAATATAATGATTTGGCTGATTCTATATAAATATAAAATAATATAATCTTCTATTTTACTAAGTCTTAAAAAATAAGACTGTTAGCGTTGACTCTGAACACTGCTGACGTTTTAGCTATTCTCTGCGGAAATTTACTTCTTGATAAAAATTCAAACAATTGGAATATTTGCCAAATTAAAGCAAATGGCATTCCATTTATTAAATATTCAGATTAAAATATTCAGGTTAAATCAAGGTTTCCTTGAAGTCCCATTTAATTTTGAGTCTTATCAATCAATCCTTTCTAAAAATATCAGTCACAATTACACAACTAATTCCGTGGCTAGTAATAATTATGTGCACGTAAGCCTCACCCCACCAGCCTCCCTCTCTAGCTCTTTGAGGGTGGGCAGCCTGCTAATTGGCGCCAGCAGTGATGAGCCTCCTTGTAGGCAAATGCTCCACCGGTGTGAGGCTCTGACTCAGCAGTTTCTCTGAACTTTCGTCCTGCAGGATACACAGGTGCCCAGTGTGAGACAGACATAAACGAGTGCAGGAGTGATCCCTGCCAGTCTGGCGGGGAGTGTATGGAGCTGTCCTCAGAGAAGCAATATGGACGCATTGCCCAGCTGCCTTCTTCATTCAGCTACCACAGCGCCGCAGGTTATGTTTGTATTTGTCGGCCTGGATTCACAGGTGAGGCCAAGGAGACAGGAGATGACTTTCTGTATTGTATGGCAGATCATGGATTTAACCAAACGGTGTATTGGCAGTAAAGACTTGCGCTGTGTAAACTCTGTTGCCATGGTACAAAGGGTCCCCCTTGTGGGCATGACAAATATCTTGGTTCATGTAACGTAGTTCTTTGACTCAGGAGGAAAATGTTACAAATAGGGATGGAAGAGGTGTAAGTTCATATATTTTACCGGGAATTGCAGCGCATTTCAAATTCTTCAATTTCTAAATCCAAAATATCAGAATTTTTGTTATTAAGTTTTTTATAATGGTGTTTTTACCTTAGTCCAATTTGCTAACGGTTATTATATTTATATTTACTTTGGGACAGTTATCTAGTTTCAAGGAATCGTCCTCAGCTATTCTATACCTAAAGTCATTTCCTTACATCAAATTTAAATTACTACTCTATCTTTATTTACAGAGTTCTTACTCTAAATGCCAGAGGAAATTTGCATGTATGTTTTTCAGTAAACAATTGTGTTTGTGTCTGCTTCATGTTGGGAAAAAGTTCAAGATCTTCAATTTCCAGTGTGTTAACAAGCAGCAGTTTACCCATGACTGCATAGATACCAGTGAAAAAACTAATTAAAATTTAGATTTCTGTCTCATTTTTTCTCAGTAGGTTAAGTAATAAATACTTCAGGAAAATGTTTGTTATTATTGAAATTTCTGAGGAAAGTAATAAAAGATAAGAAAATAAGGAAGTCTATTTACACTTAGGTTTCTCTTTCTTCTAACATTTCAGTTTTAAAGATTAATGATCTTTGATTTGTGGCACTGTTTGTTGTAAAGTTTCTGCAGTTGCTTGTTTATTCACTGCCCTCTCTATGAGAACACATAGGAGAAAAACCTCTCTTGTGTCACTCTCTGGATAAGTGATATTTCCCCTGAGCAACATTTAGCTTTCATGCCTTTTACCTCAAATCAAAAAAGATATGCAAATAAATCTTGACAAATGATAGAAAGCACAGATTTCCCAGTCATGTAGACTGCTAGAAATAAATGTGGGGTCTGTAAACATATAGGTCTGTCTGGAATATATTTATGTATTCATCTCACTCCTGGGAATGTTTCAATTTCCTGTTTGTTTTGTACTGTTTTCTTTTTCTTATTTCTTCCTAATTTATTTGATTTTGGCATTTTGTCAGCTACTTTAAATCTTTTCTGGAACAAGAAGAGTTGTAAATTGTTTTTAAAATATTGGGTTCAAGATGATAATGAAGGGATTCTATCAAAGTTAGAGACTATTGCTAATACTTCATCAGGTGAAAAGACATGGATGATCAATGGTTCAGTAGATCCAAATGGTACAAGCAGTAAGATGTTCTAGAAAGGTGTGTTGGATTTGATTTCTGAAAACAATTACTTACATGAGTTAAGATATCCTGGCTGCCCCCTATCTCTGTGGCTTAATGATATAGTTTATTTTTCACTCATGAAATTCTAAAAATGGGTTCCCATCATTAATTATCTTCCAGTGGTATTTCAGAGTCACAAGTTCCTCTATTTTCCACCTTGTCAAAATGCAGCTTTCCAATCTATGCTCTTCTCCAGCAAGCCAAAGGAGCAGGAAATAGAGCATAACACCAGAAGGTTTACTAGGTCAAGTCCTACAAGTAACAAATGTCTCTTCTATCTGCATTTCATTGGTCAAAATTTAGTCATACAGCCACATTTAATTGCAGCAAAGATGGGAAAATATAGTCTTACCTAAAATAAAAAGAAAAGTTGCATGAACTATGCAGTTTAACACAATAGCTGGAATTTACAGAAAGGGGATAAAAAAATAGATCTTCGATTCTGTTTCCCTACTTATATGTATGTCACTTTTTAAAATATCTATTTTACTTTTAAAATTGTCTTTTCAATAGTAATAGTAGATTCATTTGCAGTTATAAGAAATGGGATAGGGAAGCCCAGTATACTTTACCTAGTTTCCCCAGTATACCAGTTTTTGTTTCTTTTTTTCCCCCCTTAAATTCTTTTATTGGTACATTTTAGGCATACATTTACATTCCTCATTGGGAACTTGTACCTGTGCATGATGTATCTTAGTTCTTATTTTTCCCCATTCCCAGCCCTCCCTTTACCCCCTCCATGCTTCCCTATTTACATAGACTTTTTTTCTATTTTTTCCATGTCTCATAATTTTTCCTTTCCTTTCTTTCCTTTTCCCTACCCCTCCCACTTCCCCTACCCCTTTGGACCTTTTCTTCCTATTTCACATTAGCAATTATTCATTTTAATCATTGGTATATTTTAGGTATACAACATAATGACATTCCTCATTGGAAATTTGCACCTTTTCATAATCTCTCTTGGTTCTTATTTTTCACCCTTGCCCAGCCCTCCCTTCAACCCCTCTGTCCCTCCTTATTTACAAAGACTTTATTTCCATTTTTTCTTTTTCTCATATTAATTCCTTCCCCTTCTTTCCTTTCCTCTACCCCTCCCACTTCCCCTTCCCCTTTGCCCCTTTACTTCATGTTTAACATTACCTATTATACCTTTTAGTCCTTATTTATACTTTCAGTTTCTCACACTAGAGAAACTATTCGATATTTACACATGTGTCCTATTTATTTCACTTAAGAATATCACCTCAGGACATTTTTCAGGATCTTATCCTGCTCTAATATGGTGCTCTGCACAAGCGATTTCTGAAGAATGGTTCTTTTTCAGCAAATGATCTGTAGCCATTGTTTCTTGTTACTTTCACAAAGAATCTTATTTGAGACTGAAACTGGAACTCCTTGTTTCTCATATTTGCAATTCCTACCACTTTAGTACTGTTTGAAATTCGTGTTGTCCATGTATTACTGTTTATTGACTTGATGCATGTAAACTGGGTGCATTTTGTTGCTGCTATATGTTAAATGGTGACCAATGTTTTTACAAAAGAATTGAACAAAAAAATATCTTTGAAGAAAAAAAAAGAGTATCAC